AATTATGAAGAAATAGTTTGATTCATAGGTCCAACGTTTGTTGGTTACTAGATCTACCGTGCTATATACTTGTCTAAACATTGCCATCATAAATTTACCATATGATTAGAATTGTTAAACGAAGTTATTCGTAGACTCTGAGTCAACTCAATTCATTGAGGTTCGAATTTTACAAACTTGTTTAATAAAAAGAATCGAGTTTGTAATGCGTTCAACAACTTATTTAGTTTGTCTCGACTCGTTAAATTTTAAGATAACATTTTTTACATATTTTTTTAAATCTTAATTTATTTTGATAAAGGAGTCGAACTCGTTTATTAACGAGTCGTGATCGACTCGACTCAACTCGTTATAATTCTACATACTATCATGATCTGAAAAGATGGAAAATACAATTCAAATGTGAAAATATAAAATTCCATATAATCCTATGATTTTGGAAGATTGAAAATACAATTCAATTGCAAAAATATAAAATTCCATATAACCCGAGCCCTCAAACTGTCGCACATTGACGCTAACCCTAATCCCTCCCTACTACTTTCCAAAAAAATCTCCTAATTTAAGGATCGTGTCTAAATTGTCTATCTTGTGTTCCAAGAAATCCCCTCAAAATAAATAAATAATAAAAAAAAAATTCCAAATAAATGAGTAAATAAAAATACAAAATAATAATAGTAAAAAAAAAAACCAAAAAATAGAAAACGATCAACAAAGGCACCGTCTCCATGTGTCTGCCACAACCCCTCTCTCTGCAAAGACCCAATTTTCTCTCTCTATATATTTGTCCTTCCCCCTCATCCGGCACACCACTCGAGGCAGGCAGACCCTAGCAAAAGATTTTTTTTTTCTCCATTTCTAGCAATCGTCACCCTTCCCAATCAGTCCCATACCTCCTTATCCTCAATCATTTCGTAGGGATTAGATGTGATTGTCGCTGTTTATTGACCGATCGCCATGTATATAACCAGTGGCACCACAGCCCTTCTCAGGCGAGCTTCCTCTCATTCTTCCTCCTCTTCGCGTGCCGGGAAAAGGGTCTTTTCCTCTCTCTCCGGTAAGCCAGCCCAGCCCCCTCCTCCGCCTGCTCGTGCAGGTGGCGATTCGTGCGCCGTTGGGTTGAAGCAGCACCGATCCCTGAGCTATCTGACGCCGGCGCGGTGGAGCCACGGCTCTGAGTGGAAATCGCCCGCGAGTCTCGCTGCCCAGATCAGGATCGCGTCGGGTTGTTCTAACAGCGTGTTGAGTCGCAAGATCGCTACAATGGGTGGGTGGCCTTGCAATTGTTTGATGTTCTGTCTTTTGTTATGTTTTTCCGTTGTCTGCTTTTGATAAAATGTTTCAGTTTTGTGATATGTGGATAAACTGCTTCTCACTGTGCCTGTTGGGGGTATTGATTTCCACTTGTAGTCGGAGGTAGTGATTGATCTGCTGAATTTTGTTTCTGTCTGTTTGCTTGGTTCTCACTTATGTAAGAACAAATTTAGATTGGAATTTTCTTTTTGACAATACGAATCGTGACCATAGTTGTTAGCTTTAACTGAAGTGCAACTTATTAGGTGATTTTGATGTATTTTCTGCCTGTATATCTGTTTCTTTGTGATGGAACTGAAATTGATATTAGTCCATTCCGTTTTTATATTTGATTCATTTTGAAAGGTAAGCTTGATTTGGCTTAGTGTAGTTAGTTTCGAATTTTGATCTTCTTCGTTAGTATACTGCATTTTACATTTTTGTTCAGAGATTTGTGTTAGCATTGTATGTTGTACTTATTTTGTATGGCCATATTAGAACTCTCTTCAATAGGAGTTTGGATGAAATCTTACATGGTGGTATATATTTTTTTACTATATAAAAGCCTAGTACTTTCTCCACCTGCTTTATTTCATTTTTAACCATTCAAACATGAAACACTATCTATCTATCTATTTTTTTTTTTTACACGGCTTTGGTAAACTTTACTCATTATATGTTGTTTCAGCTTCCGAGAATGCCTTCAAGGAAATTTTCACCAGTCTTCCCAAGCCTGGTGGTGGTGAATTTGGAAAGTTTTACAGTCTTACTGCTCTAAAAGATCCGAGGATAGGTAATTATCTTTAATATATTCTATGTTAATTTGCTTTAAATGTTGTATATCTTAATTTGGAATATCTGCTTTAATTGATTCTGAACTTTTTTAGTTATTCTATTGTAAACTGACAAAAGCATTTTCATTTGTGCTTATACCAAATAATAGTATTTATTATAAAGTTTAACATTATGATGGTGGTTTTTCTGTGCTTATGCCATCATTACAGATAAGCTACCATACTCTATTAGAATACTTCTTGAATCCGCGATACGTAACTGTGATGGATTCCAAGTGAAAAAGGAAGATGTGGAGAAGATTATTGACTGGGAAAAAACTGCCCCAAAGCAAGTTGAAATCCCTTTCAAACCTGCTCGCGTACTTCTTCAGGTACTGGTCTTCATTGCAATTTTTTTTTTTTTTAACTTTGATATTATTTTATGACTCTTTCGCTGATATCTGATTAATATTTTTCCTTTTGTTGCTAGGACTTTACTGGTGTGCCTGCTGTTGTTGACCTAGCCTGCATGCGTGATGCTATGAACAAGCTTGGCAGTGATTCTAACAAAATCAATCCATTGGTAAGTACTGTTTTCTATGTTTCTAATTAGCAATTAGATATTTTAAGCTTTAGTTTTTCTTACGAGATCTTGTCACTGAGCCTATGGTGCTCCTGATACCATAGGTACATTCCCTTAGAGACAAAATGAGTTTGTAATGAGGGGTACTTGTTAATATACCATAACTAATAACAACTGCTTCGTTATTAATTATTTAAATTATCTGGAGTAAATTCGATTAGCGTAAGAAATGGGAATACCAAGGATTGAAAAACATTGTGCTCAATACAAAATGGGGAGAAAGGACAGAAGGAACCCGAAATTGTTGTCATAAGATTTATAATTCCAATGTATCGGGTGGTCACAGGTTCCTGTCGATCTAGTTGTTGATCATTCAGTTCAAGTGGACGTCGCAAGATCAGAAAATGCTGTTCAAGCAAATATGGAGCTTGAATTCCAAAGAAACAAGGAAAGATTTGCTTTCCTGAAGTGGGGATCAAATGCTTTCCAAAACATGCTTGTTGTTCCTCCGGGCTCCGGTATAGTGCACCAGGTATTGGAACATAATAATAGATGCGTCAACTTGTTTGACATGCTCCAACTACCCATTTTAATAGGCATTACTTTGTACTTTGATTATCTGTGTTGATTAACATCACTGATTTTATTCTCGTGCTTTGTTTAGGTCAATCTTGAATATCTTGGACGGGTTGTCTTCAATACTGATGGTGTACTATATCCAGATAGTGTGGTTGGGACCGACTCTCACACCACCATGATTGATGGGCTCGGAGTTGCTGGTTGGGGAGTCGGAGGTATTGAAGCTGAGGCAGCAATGCTTGGTCAGGTAAGAAACTGTCAAATGGTTAAATGGCCTGTTTGTTTACAAATAAATCAGTTTTTTATTGGGTTTTTCATGGTTACCATGGTTAATTAATTAATTTTGAAAAAGTAGGTTTGGTTAGTTTTTAGTGGGATATTAAAATAATATTTAAAATAAAATGATAAAATTGATTTGATTAAAAGTAGGAGATAAATGATTTAGAAGTGGATGAATAATGAATTAAAGTTGATGTGATGTATAAGATATTGATTGCTAAAGTTGAGTTAGATTTGGAGTATGAATTGAGTATGAGTATGTGTTTTTTTAATAAACAAACACCCTCTAAGAGTATTATATTGGAGCTTGTCTATGTGTGTGTGTATGCGTGTGTATGTCAGTGTGTTACTCATTCCAGAAGTTACTAGTTACTACCTGTGCCTCGTTATGATTTTGAGATTCATATTGATCGTTATTACTTTCTGATGGAATTTGTGTATTAAGATGCCTGTGAACTGTGTGATTAAACGCTATTATCTGTCTGACAGCCTATGAGCATGGTATTGCCTGGAGTTGTGGGATTCAAATTATCAGGAAAACTTCGAGATGGGGTCACTGCTACTGACTTGGTTTTAACTGTCACACAAATGCTAAGGAAACATGGTGTTGTGGGAAAATTTGTCGAATTTTATGGTAATATTGCTTAATCCTTTACTCTCTCTTACACTCTTTACAAATGGACCTAGTAACTCACATTCAATTATGTCAGGTGGTGGTGTGGGAGAAATCTCACTAGCTGATAGAGCCACCATTGCAAACATGTCTCCTGAGTATGGTGCCACTATGGGTTTCTTCCCTGTAGATCACGTCACTTTACAATATCTCAAATTAACTGGCAGAAGTGATGAGACTGTAAGTTCATTCATTTTGCATATCCTAAAATATAAAGGAATAATTTCTGTGTATAAATAGTAAGTTGACTCTCATTCATCATCATTCAGGTGGCGATGATAGAAGCTTATCTTCGGGCAAACAATATGTTTGTGGACTACAGTGAGGTAGGCATTTATGTTGATTGCCATACACAGTTCTTGGATAATTTGGTTGATTTATTTTATTTTTTCCAAGAATTTGATTTTTATTTTCCCTTCTAATATTAGCCTCAACAAGAAAGAGTGTATTCATCTTACTTGCACCTGGACCTGGCTGATGTGGAACCATGCATTTCCGGACCAAAGAGGTATGTTCTGAGGTTCGCCACTTAGTCATATTTTTTTTTCTCTGTTTTATTATTGATAGCCGATTGACCCGTTTGATAGGCCTCATGATCGTGTTCCTTTGAGAGAAATGAAAGCTGATTGGCATTCTTGCCTTGATAGCAAAGTTGGGTTCAAGGTATGGATTTCTCCTCTTTAATGAAGTTGGTTGGTCTTGTTTTACTGTGTTACTCTAAATTTTACTATTTCGGCTTATAGCACTTAATTGTTGTCTCTTGGTTTTGACAAAATGTAGTGTGCTATTTGGTTGCTGTAAAGCATTTTACTTGAATTTATTATCAAACTGGCATATAGGATTCTTCCTTGCAGCTTCATTCTGAGGCTATTCTACTAAATCATCATTGACTGTAATGCAGGGCTTTGCTGTGCCAAAAGAAGCGCAAGAAAAAGTAGCCAAGTTTTCATTCCATGGACAACCTGCCGAGCTTAAGCATGGCAGTGTTGTAATTGCTGCTATCACAAGTTGCACAAATACATCAAACCCCAGTGTCATGCTTGGTGCTGGCCTTGTGGCGAAAAAGGCTTGTGAGCTGGGTCTTCAGGTTAATTTCTTTATCATGAACTGAACTGATTATTAAAAAAAAAAAAGAAAAAAAAGAAAAAAAAAAACTGAACTGATTATTCCATTGAGCCTCTTTTGAATGTTGTAATTTATTATAGGTAAAACCGTGGATAAAGACAAGTCTTGCTCCAGGCTCTGGAGTTGTTACGAAGTATTTGCAGAAGAGGTATATATCACATTGCCTGTTATTTTGTAGTATGACATTTTACAACTTTTTTCAAATCCACAAGTTAATTAATATGGTGTGAATTTTTGCAGTGGGCTACAGAAATACTTGAACGAGCAAGGCTTTCATATTGTTGGATATGGATGCACAACATGCATTGGAAATTCTGGGGATTTAGATGAATCAGTCGGGGCTGCTATATCAGAAAATGGTAAATTTTTTTAAGTTAAATAGATCTTTCTATATCTTTGTTTATCTGACTTGTGATTTATGAATATATTATTGAATCTTGATTTTTCAGACATTGTTGCGGCTGCTGTACTTTCTGGAAATCGGAACTTTGAGGGTCGTGTGCATCCGTTGACAAGAGCAAACTATCTTGCCTCACCTCCTCTAGTTGTTGCTTATGCTCTTGCTGGAACGGTTAGAAAATAATAATTTCTATCTGCATTTATTTCTTCTTTTTGTGTAATTAATCAAATGACATGTTTTGACTATCAAAGCTGATGAAAAGGATGCACCTTATATATATATCTTGACAGTAATTTTACGGAAAGGAATATGATAGTTAACGATACTAAAATTCTAGGAAGAGAATCTGGCTCCAATGATCTTGGGCTGTGATTGCTTGTGGTCTCAATTTGCAAAATTTTCCTCAAAGTATGTTTCTTGAGGAAACGTCAAATCCCAACTTTTCTTCTCAAAATGTCACTGTTTATTTTTCTTTTTTCACCTTTTGAATCTTCCAACCATGAAACTACAATCATTTTATAAACTGTCGCAGTAATTACTCACCGTCTTAGTCTCTTTTTGACATTTTTGTTCATCAACTAAATACCAATCACATTATCAAAATTCAATTTAGGTTTTCAGAACAATTTTTTTTTTTTCACACTACTAAATCTAAATATGCACAATAAATGAAAGGATATAGGAGGCCAAACAGTCAAAGCCTTCTTCATATTTGGTGATTTCACAGAATCTATTTCTAATGGACTTTACTTATTTGTAACCATATTCGTTATCTTTTTATCGACAGGTTGATATTGACTTTGAGAAGGAGCCAATTGGTGTTGGCAAGGACGGTAAGGAAGTATACTTCCGAGATATCTGGCCTTCAACTGAAGAAGTGGCTGAGGTACATACATCACTACATATTATTGCCTCATGTTTTTTCAGAGCAATTTGATACAACAGCAAATATGACGGTTTTTNGTGTTTTGCCTGATATGTTTAAGAGCACATACGAAGCTATTACCAAGGGTAATCCCATGTGGAACCAGTTATCTGTCCCCACGGCCAAACTATACTCATGGGATCCAAATTCTACTTACATCCACGAACCACCGTATTTCAAAAATATGACCATGGAACCTCCTGGCCCGCATGGAGTGAAAGATGCCTACTGCTTGCTAAATTTTGGCGATAGTATCACGACCGATCACATCTCGCCAGCTGGCAACATCCACAAAGATAGCCCGGCTGCCAAGTACCTGATCGAGCGTGGAGTAGACCGCAAGGATTTCAACTCCTATGGCAGTCGACGTGGAAATGATGAAATAATGGCCAGAGGTACTTTTGCGAATATTCGTCTGGTGAACAAGTTGTTGAATGGAGAAGTTGGCCCGAAGACTGTTCATGTCCCTACAGGAGAAAAACTATACGTATTCGATGCTGCAATGGTAATAATAATATCTTGGATTCTTGTCTTATTTTTTAATTGTTCTTTGTTTTTATTTTTAAGAAAAAGAAATGAAACTTATAAAAGATATCTCAAAAACTGCATCTTTTGTAACGGGGTATTTGCGATTCTGAAATATGACATGATTCGTATGTAATTGGAGGACGTTTTGGGAGTTGTTATCTTGAAGACCCTAGATTCGAAATATTTTATTTATTTATTTATTTATTTTTCTAGTTGCTGTGGTCAAATTATTAATGTTTTTATATTATTGTTTCTCTTTGCAAATTACCTTTGGGACCATATTTTTCCTAACCAAATTCCAAAACTACCATCAGAAATACAAGTCTGAGGGGCAGGACACTATTATTTTGGCTGGAGCCGAGTATGGAAGTGGAAGCTCCAGGGATTGGGCTGCTAAGGGCCCAATGTTGTTGGTGAGTACAAATTTACCGATTAACTGCTTTAAGTAACGTCTATTTAATTATTTACCAGCATTCTCCGGCTGACAGGGTGTTAAAGCCGTGATTGCCAAAAGCTTTGAGAGGATCCACCGCAGCAATCTCGTGGGGATGGGCATTATTCCTCTGTGTTTCAAGTCTGGTGAGGATGCGGACACATTAGGGTTGACTGGTCATGAACGTTACACCATTGACCTCCCGAGCAATATTTCCAAAATCCGCCCTGGCCAAGATGTTACCGTGCGTACAAACACCGGAAAAGAATTCACTTGCACTGTTCGCTTTGACACTGAGGTAAATTCTCGTTCTTTATCAACAATTTCAGTTATATGTGAGAAGAAAAGTAAATCCAGCCCGTGAAAAAATGAGTAACATGATTTTTTATTTTTTATTTAAAAAAGAAAAACTTTTTATGAAATCTCAGAAAAGGGTTTTGATTGTTATGCTTTTGTCATCTTTGATTATAGGTGGAGTTGGCGTACTTCAACAATGGCGGTATACTTCCATATGTTATTCGACAGTTGACTAAGCAGTAGAGTTTCTTAATCAAGAGAAGAATGTGAGAATAAAATGCTCCACTATTTTTACATCCCATCGAAAATGCGGATGTACATTTTTATCGTTTTCTTGAAATAGGGCAAGCAATTGCCGAGTCATGAGCAGAGTAGTGCGTTTTCTTTCTGGAAATAAGATTCAGATTTGGAGATATATGCTTGAACTCTGATGATATTATGCGGCTGATTTTATTGTACGCACTTTGTTTATTTTCGGGCCATTGATATGAAAGTATTACACTGCTGGTATTTGGCATAGTATGATTTTTGTTCATT